TAACATAAGTAAAGATATTGAATACAATACCTGGCATATAGCAAGCACATAATAAATGGTATCTATAAAATAGGATGTGAAGGAATGGGTTTAAAGTTTGGGTTATAAAGTAAAAGAAGAATCATTATAATAGAGAATAAAAATCAAAGGAGTCATCACCAAACTGTTGATAATGGTTTCTTTGGGAGGGATAATGGTATGCACTCCCTTTCTATATTATACATTTCTGAAAATGTTTGAATTTTTAAATAATAAACATGTATTACTCTGAACCAGAAAAAATTGAAATGTTTTCAAAATATATGTTCTCTTCATTCCCAATATCACCACTAAAGTTCTGGCCCTATTTATCTCTTGCTTGGACTCTTCTAAACTGGAATCTCAGCTCCCCCATTTTTCAAGCTGTTTTCCATGCCATTTTCCACATTGCCACTGGAAGTGATCACGTCTAGTCGCTAGATTGTTTCTGAAGTTTCATATTTGTCATGGTCCTTGCCCTCAGAAAACTTATCCATAAGTAGAATAAATGAGATAAAAATTTATTCTTTACCAAACGTAAGTATATTGTTTTAGGATTTTAAATGTAAAATAGGCTTAACTTATGGAGCACTTTTTTATATAATAGGCAATAACCTATTGACAGTCAATATCCTAGAGGACAGTCAGATTAAAATGATATATGTGTATTGCAGGTCCCTTAAAGGGTAGTGAGGAAAATTAGGAACTTTCATATGTATATTTATGTATTACTAATTTGAAGAAATTGTCATCTCAGAGAATGACACTTCCACTCTTGGGCACACACTACTGGGATGTAATGACAAGTGTTTGACCCAGAGGAGTGTTTTTTAAATATTCTCAAGAATAGTGAGTGCATCATTGATTGTTCCAATAAACTTCAAATGAAGAGCAAAAGAGAACTAAATGAAGAGAAAAAGGGACATAGAAATTGGAGTAGGAGCTTTTTATAGATGGTCTCAGTTTGGAATTTGATGAGAAAATGTTGGTTAGAGATCGTACAGCTTTTTCTTTTTAATCCTCACCCGAGGATATTTTTTCCATTGCTTTTCAGAGCGGGTTGAAGAGAGAGAGAGAGAGAGAGAGACATTGATTGGTTGCCTCCTGCTCAAGCCCCCACCAGGGCCAGAGATTGAGCCTGCAATTGAGGTAAGTGTCCTTGGCCAGAATCGAACCCTGGACCCTTCAGTCCATGGGCCGATGCTCTAACCACTGAGCCAAACCAGCTAAGGTTCATACAGCTTTTTATATAAGCCAAAGTTTGAGTCTCATTAGAGTCCTCTAGTGTTAAGAATTTTAGTCCTCAGATAAATTTTAAAAAGAAGAAGAATTATTTTACTCAGAGTTTGAAATTTATTAAATTCATTATATGTCCACTTTCTGAGAAATATTATGCTAGGTACTCTTGGAGATTGGGGTGGGGATAGGGGAAGGTCAATAAATAAGACACCATATGGAGACACAGAGTAAAGGAGAAGAAGAGAAGATAGGTAAAACCTATCCACAGCAATGAAGCTGTTTGTAATGAGGTGAAGAAAACATTTCTAACAACTTATTGCTATGTAACATAATACAGAATGAAAAAACTGCTAAAGTGGAATTACAGATGAGAAGGGAGAGCATAACCCTGAATGGGAGATTAGGAAAGACTTAAAGGAGGAGGAGTCGACATTTGAACTAAGCCTTAAAGATGAGAGAGAATCAGAGGTGGAAACGTAAGGAGAAGGGCATTCTAGGTTGAGAGAATGGCATACTTCATTGAATTAGAGAATACAATAAGTTAGAAGGCCAAATTATGGAAGTTAATAAATATCTTACTAGTAATTCTGAATTTTGTCTCTCACTTAGGTTCTTTCTCTAAGCCAACAGTCTTTATTTTCTTAAATCCTCTGAATAAATGACAATGTTTTTCTCCTTCACAGTTCAGAAGATATACCCCTTTATAGCATGTTTAGTATTTCCCCACCTATAATTCTTTCATATGTGCCAGTAGACTGACTTTCAAATTCTTCTCAGAGAAATTTCTAACACTATAAATGGGCATTTTTTGCCCGGCCGGACATGGCTCAACGGTTGAGCGTCGACCTAGGATCCAGGCGATAGGGGTTCGATTCCCTGTCAGGGCACATGCCCGGGTTGCGGGCCCGATCCCCAGTCAGGGGCGTGCAGGAGGCAGCCGATCAATGACTCTCTCATCACTGATGTTTCTCTCTCTCCCTCTCCTTTCCTGTCTCTGAAATCAATAAAGATATAAAATATATATAAATGGACATTTTTTATATTCTGTAAATAATCATGGCTTTTGGAATATATTAGCATTTAATGTTAATATTGGTTATTCAAGGAATACTCAAGTGATATTTTAAAATATTATTCAGAATAAAACTGGACAAAAATGAATAAATACCAATCTGATTTAACGAATTCTCTCAGTGTCCTTGTTTGCCATTTCCCCTACCTTATCTATAAATTTTATAGTGTAAACCAAACTAGCATATTTCCTAAATTGTGAAAAATATTTATTTTTGAATCTGAATTTCATGTAAATATTACCTTATAGAGAATAGTTTATTCTTTATTGTTCAGCAAAACATTATATCTTGTGTTTGGTAAGTAATACCTTGAAGTTCTATATGAAGGTGGTTCAGTTTTGGTTTTCAGATGTTTGATCATCTATTCAGTTTTCTCATTAGTTCAGTTCTCATCTGTTTAGTTCTCATCCATTTAGTGGTCTTTTTTCTTTTAAAATTATTTTTATCAGAAATTTTCTAACTTGTAGAATTCATGGTAAATTTGAAAGATTATGTAGGCCTTTATAAACATCTTTTCCCCCCTCTACTCCCAACATTATAGGAAGCACTTTTTCAAGAATTTAGATATTAGAAGTTATTTTTTCCAATGGGCTTTGTACTAGAATCATAAAAACTAGTATTATATTCAATTGAAATGTTAAGTGATAGATTTTTTTTTTAACCCTATACTCACTTTCCAGTCTTTTACAATTATATCTTCCTTTCTTCTATTCTTCCAGTGTTTACTGCACAGTTGTCAACTGTATCATTTCAATATTGGGCATCTCTTACTTGAGCTAAATATTGTTCATTTTCTTACAACCTTATGGTATACTGCAGTATAACTCAAACCTAGATTTATTTGTTAAATTTGACACTTGAAAGATTGTTATGAAATTAGAAGTGGAACAGATCTAGTATGCCAGTCCTGAATTGTTTCCTGCAGTATACATTGTATTTTTCTAGTGTAGTTTTTGCTGTGAGCTATAATTCCACTTCATGATTTTAGTGAGTCAGTCAATCCACAACTATTAATTACTAGTTATCTATTTTATGCAAATAATATATATGTATATATGTATATCTGTCCTTTATCTTTTTTCTGAACTCCAGATGGGCATATACTACTGCCAAGGAGACATCTCTAATTAGATATCAGGCATCTCAAAGTTAACGTGGTCAAAAACAATCTCTTCATTTCTAACCTGTTTCTTGACTAGTTTATTCATCTTAATGAATGGTGCCACCATCTACTCAATTATATGCAAGCCAAAAACATAGAAATCATTCTTTAGTCTTCAATTCCCCTCACCCCAAATTTATTCCCCAAGCTGCCCTAGCTACAACAGCAAGTCCTGTTGACTCTCTCTTCAAACAATATGCTTGATCTGCCCACAGCCAGCAATTCTACTACTACTAGCCCAGTCCAAGCCACCATCATCTCTAGCTGGACTTCTGTTCCTCCTCCTACCTCGTCTCCCTGCTTCCACTATAGCTCCCCAGCCCATTCTTTCCTGTTTTTCAATAGATTCTCCATAGGTAGCCAGAGAGATCTTTTACAAGCACATATTAAGCCATATTAATTTCTTGCTTTAAACTCTCCAAAGACTTCCTACTGAAAGTGCTTACTTTGGTTTACAAAGCTGAAAGCTATCTGGCCCCTGCCCTTCTCTCCACTCCTGCCTCATTTCACACCATTTGCTACTTTTCCCCCTGCATTTCAACTATACTGCCTTCTCCTCTAACTCACCAAGCTGGTTCTTGCCTTGGAGCCTTTGCACAGTTAGTTCCCTTTGCTTGAAACGCTTTGCCTATTCCTTGGCCACTCAATTTAAAGTAAAGTAAACTAAGTAGTAGTTACCTGAGCCCTGGGTTCTTGGGAACTCCAGGATAGAAATAGAGTACCCACAGAATTAGGTCTCAAGTGAAGGTTTATTAAAGCTTTATGCACAAAGGGAGACAACGCTTACAAAAGAGGAAAAATGCTACTCTTTGAGCAACAGCTGGGGATCAGTTTTAAAGGATTTTAGGCAGGAAAGATGACATCTAAGTGTGACGTCTAAGCATGTAGAGGCGAGGCTCTTTGGTACTTGCGCAGTACATCAACATGTTTCTTCATGCATCACATGTCTCCACCCAAGGGTGTGTTTTTTACTATTATAATGAGGATAAGGTCATGCAGTAGTTGTTTTGGGGCTAAACTGTGCATGCATTAGAGTTGGGGTACTTTCGCCCAATAAAGCAAATCCAGGCAGTTACTGGCACTGCTCTGTCTGGCTGCTGATTGCATGCAGGGTTTGAGGGGCAACCAAAGGAAATGCCAATCTTATCGTGAGAGGCTTAGCCTGTCACACTATTTTATTGTCTTTAGTTTCATAGCACTTCTCAAAATATGAAATTATCTCTTCATTGTTTATAGCCTGCCTCTTCCTCCACCAAACATAATCTCACTAAAATATGAACACTAGGAAGCCAGTTACTTTGTCTGCTTACTGATGTATCCCATCTGGAATAGTACCAGACACATCATAGATATTCAATGGGTATTGAATGAATAGTGTTTGAATGAACTATGACAAATGCTATGTATGATCCATTAACAGCAGTATTGAAAAGGTTCTTTTGATACTTTTAATATTATTTGTTAATAGGATAACAGAGCTCTCTATTTATCTTTTGTTTATGCTTTAGATATGAAGCCCCACAGATTGCCTTACGTTGTGGAATTATGCTGAGAGAATGTATTCGATATGAACCACTTGCCAAAATCATCCTCTTTTCTAATCAATTCAGAGATTTCTTTAAGTATGTGGAGTTGTCAACATTTGATATTGCGTCAGATGCCTTTGCTACTTTTAAGGTAATTTTTTTTCCTTAATAAGCCAGATCATTTAGTTTCAGCATTTAGTTAGTCATTTGGCCTCTGAAGAAGCAATTTAATTTTAAAAAGCAGAAAATTCTGTTTCTTAGGCATGGGCATAGATGACTGTCTATGATGTGAATCATAAGAGGCATTGGTAAATAGAATACAGTCTATTAGGCTAGTCTGTCACATTGTAGAAAAGACATCTCAACATACTGCCACAAGCTCATACAGAATGAATTCCAGTATATAAAAGGAAAATACAGTTCTCTGTGTATGTCTTGCTTTTATTTATGTTAAAAACAAGAGGTATAAGCTTCCACTTAAGGTGTATATTTATCAAATGCCTCTGTAAGGGTATTTTGGAAATAGAGTGTTTACCTCCAAGGAAAGGAACTGGGTAGTAAAGGGAGGTGGACAGTTACATCTTTGAATATGAAGGACATCATATTATTTTATCAGTGTAATTTTAAATTTCCACATGGTGAAACAAAACACTAAAAAATTGTATTGTGTGGTTTTTTTATAATCATATATATTCTTAGAAACATTTTATCTACTTCATTATTATGTAGAAGTTAAGTTTAATCTAACTTAATTTAAATTAAAACTTTTTTAAATTGTGGTAAAATGCACATAACAAAATCACTATCTTAACCATCGTTTAGTGCATAGTTCAGTACTTATGTATATTCATATTGTCATACAACCGGTCTCTATTAAACAGTTCTCCATTTCCCTCTCCCTGCAGCCACTGGTAGCCACTTTCTACTTTCTGTTTCTATGAGTTTGACCATCAAAAAGATGTTCAGAGAGCATATTAGAAAATAGTGGAGCTAATTTGCAATCTAAAATATTAGCACTTATACATCCAATGAGTGATACCCCCTTCAAGGTTTTTATTTTAGAAAACCATGTCCCCATTCTTATGATCCTGATCCTGTCATTGTTTAGTGTCTTTTGAAACTGGTATCAATGTCTGTGGCATGTTCATTTTTCAATGATGACAAATCTTTTTCCTTTGAGGGCTGATAAAAGTTTTAGAAACAGCAAAAAGCTATTTGACTTCCAGGTTAGGGGGTAAAATGAGCAATCAAGTTAGTGAGAACTGTTTTTGGCTTTGGTAATAGTAATTATTGTGATAATAAAAAACAAATTTTGCCTGGCCACTGTGGCTCAGCAGTTGAGCATCAGCGTATGATCCAGGAGATCACAGTTTGATTCCCAGGCAGAGCACATGCCTGGGTTGTGGGCTCAATCCCCAGTGGGGGGTGTGCAGGAGGCAGCCCATCAATGGCTCTCTCTTATCATTGATGTTTCTCTCTCTCCCTCTCCCTCTTTCTGAAATCCATTTTTTTTTTTTTTAATTGTAAAATAACTAAAATGGAGCCTGTCTTCAGTGTATAACAAACAGGCTCTCAGTGGCCATTTTAGAAGAGGAATTCCAAAAATATTTTAAGCTGATGACATAACAACATCATTGAAAAAAAATAGGTTTTCACAAAAGTTGATTATAAAATAGACAAGACTCATTTAAATGTACACTCAGATTTCTTTCTTTTTTTAAAAAATTTATCTTTATTGTTGAAAGTATTACAGATTTTGACTTCC